GACCCCAGCCTGGCAGGTGAGCCAGGCATTGGCTCCACTCCCTAAAGCTGCAGCTCCATCCCAAGAGCTGTGCCACAGTGGCCAAGGGGTGTTTTTACTTCAAAGTGCAGGACCTTACAGCAAAATCCTTGCACAAATTTTGCCAGGACCTGTTCAGGGCATGGGGCTGATGGTGTCCCACTGCCCTGGGGTGCAGCATGATCCCCAGGGATGGGGGACAGGCAGAAGGGGACATTGCCCTGTGCTCGGGGTCCCCCAGCTCTGGGGTCGGGGCTGGCGGAGCCGGCGTTGCCGGGAGCCACACGCACATCCTGCAAGGGGAAGAGCCCTGCTCCCAACATCTGCTTGGCGTTTGTTTGTCTTTCATTCCCATTCCTGCCCTGCCCCCCCGCTGCTTTCATCCCTCCATCTGCACAGGCCTAAAAATAGGGCCGTGGCCAGACTCGGTCTGTGCCTCATCAGCCTGTCGGGATTTTGGTATGATCCCATTTGTATGGCCCCAATGAGGTGGGGACAGGACCCACCAGTGTCCCTCAGGTGCCACTTTGCTGCCGCAGATGCCAAGTGGCTGTCCAGGGGTACCTGCACCCCTGACTTTTGCCCTGGGCACTGTTTGCTGCCCCCAGCCCAAAATGCTCAATCCTGGGCGTGGGGGATCTCAGGCTGAGCCTCATGGCAGCCCCGGCATGGCCCCACTGCTGCAGCTGGGCTGGGGATGACACCAACTGCAGAGGTACCTCTGTGGCAGAGGAAGAGCAGAGCGGTGTTCCCAACCCCCCAGCTCATATACTCCCAAAAAGTGCCTGGCATGAAGAAGTGGAGCCACAGGGATGCCCTTATCACCCGGCCGGGGCTCAGCAGGACCTGGTTCTGCCACCTGGGCTGCTCTGGGGTCCCTGTGGGCTGCCCCGGGAGTTTCCACCCTCCTGCTCCCCAGGCAGGCTCATCCCCTCTCAGGAGTGTGGAGCAGGATGAGCATCAATTTGGCACGTCCTCGTGTCCCCCTGCCCGTTCCCCAAGTTGCTATGAATTAATCATTGTTTTATTAAAGAGAAGCAGCTGCTTTTTTTCTTCTCCTCCTTTTTTTTATTTTTTTTTTTTCCTGACACCCCATCCCTACCCACGGAGCCCTTTGGCACATGCTCGAACGCTGAAGCCCCATTGAGGGCCCCCAGAGCATAGCAATTGATACACACAGATCCCCAAATCCTATTCAGCCCCCTCTTTTCTGCACGAGCAGCCTCTAAACAGCTCATTCACTGCTCTTTTTGTCGCCGGGGTTAAGTGGTTAAGTGTGTGTGGATCCCATAAAAGGCCTTTACTCCATGAAAAGCTATATTTACATTGTAATCACCAAAGAACTGTTTAGGCAGTCAATAGCGGGGCAGGGGCGGCGGGGGCTCGGCGGCGTGTCCCTCTCCTCTCCCGCTGAGCCCCCCGGAGCAGCACTTTTGTGGGATTATGTCCCCCCATCGCCAGCTGCCGGGGCCGCCGCTCTTTGTCTGGGCTCCCGGAGCAGCATCCCGCATCCCGGTGTCCCCGCTCCCTTCCCTCGGGCGGGGACAGAGCCCCGACCCCGCTCAGCCCCACTCAGCCCCACTCAGCCCCACTCAGCCCCTCTCAGCCCCTCTCAGCCCCTCTCAGCCCCTCTCAGCCCCTCTCATCCCCTCTCAGCCCCACTCAGCCCCTCTCATCCCCTCTCAGCCCCACTCAGCCCCTCTCATCCCCTCTCAGCCCCACTCAGCCCCTCTCAGCCCCTCTCAGCCCCACTCAGCCCCACTCAGCCCCTCTCAGCCCCACTCAGCCCCTCTCATCCCCACTCATCCCCACTCATCCCCACTCAGCCCCATTCAGCCCCTCTCAGCCCCTCTCAGCCCCTCTCAGCCCCTCTCAGCCCCTCTCAGCCCCGCTCAGCCCCACTCAGCCCCGCTCAGCCCCGCTCAGCCCCACAGGACTGCCACCAACCTGGTGCCACCCGGGTGAGCTGCGTGCTGGCACAGTGCTCGTGGCCACCAAAGCACCTTGCTGAGCTCATCCCACCATCAGTTCTGGGAACCCAAGGCAAGGGGAATATCCCCATGTGTGCCCTGGGGTGCTCTGACTCCCAGCAGAACACTGACTTTGACCCTCATTCATGGAGAAAACTTCCAAAGCCTCAAGGTAAACTAGAAACCACAAAAGCGTGTGAAATAGACTGTAAAGATTGTAGATAGTAGTGTAGTATGGCACATGGGTGAGAAATTTAGGGTTTAGTATGTTATAGATGGGTTATAGTTTGGTTTTAGTATGTTATAGATGGGAATCCAGGGCTTCCTTCTGTCTGCTCTGGAAGGTCTGGGACCCTGGCAGGGGTCAGGAACCCCCCTGGACAGAGCCCCCAGAGACACTGGCTGTGATCTCTGGCCATGGAAAAGAGTTTTCAATCTTACAGGATGAATTACAAGCTCTGAGTGTTTGATATAAGTAATAATTAAGTGTGGCACAAGTGCAAAAGTAAAATTTTAGGATTCTAGATTAGGGGTTCAAAGGGGACAAGATGGAGGAAATTGGGTGTGCCTTGTCCTTTTTCTCCTTCTTCATGCCCTCCATGTTTCACTGTGGTGTTGGCATTTTTCTGTTGGTTCAGGCTGGGGACACACTGTCCAACGTAGGTGACAGATATTGGCACGTTATTGTAAATCCAGCACAGGTAGTTTGTGGTATTTAATGTTTGTACCATCCCACTGGGGGCAGAGCCCCACACGCTGCCCTGCAGGACAGAGCTGCGGCAGGGCAGCAGAACATGTTAGAGATAAACAGAATAAACAACCTTGAAACGGCACAGACGAATTATGGCTTCTGCTTTGGCAGCGGGGCTGAAAGACAGAGACTTTCTACAATCTTGGGATCATCAATACCTCAGATTCCGGCAGTGTGCCCCTGTGCCATGCCCTGCACTGGCAGCACCAGCTCTGGTCCTGGCCCTGCCTTGCCGAGCCATTCACATCATCCCAGGGTTTTGTTTTCCCTCTGCTTTGGCTCCTGCCTGGATTTTTCAAAGGCTCTGGAGCAGCGAGCGCCCTTCCTCCCGCGGCCGGCGCACATTGTTCGAATTAGTGCCGAAATGAAAGGATATTGTTGGTTCCTGTTGGGAGATAATAACCTCGGTAGCGGAGGGAATTTCACCCATGCAGAGAGAATTTGCTGGGCTGTTCCCCTCGCCGGGGTCTGTCTCGCTGGGAGGACGGCTGATGGGAACAGATCTGCCAGGAAGCGGGGGTTTATCTTGGCATGCTGCTCTAATTGCTGAAAACTCTGCTTTCTGACCTCAAAAATGTGCCACCGCTCCCCATCTGGCACAGGGGCACCTGTGGCACAGCACAGCTGGGATCAACGCCGATAGCAGCGGTTCCAGCCATGAGCCCCATGGAAAAGTGCTCCTGTTCCCAAATTCTAACGGGATTTTGGTTTTCCCTCTTCCTTCCCATCCATCTGCCTTCTCCCACGGCTTAAGGAGATATGAACCCCTTGCCGTGCCATGGAAGTGGAAGAAAGAGAGAGGAAAATGTACCCAGACAATGGAAATCCCAGTATTTCCATTTTTTACTAAAGCACAGAGGATTTCAAGCATATGGGAAACATCCTGGCCAGCCCAAAAGGCACCTTCTGCTCCACTTCTCTGTTGTGGGGATGCCAAGTGGCTCCCGCCGCCTCAGTGGCCATCACCACCATCCCCAGGGTGCTCTGGCAGGTGCTGGTGGTGTGGAGGGCACAGGGACACAGGGACAAGCACAGTGGCACCTGGATGATGGCAGGGCAGGAGGGGATGGGCTGTGGGACCCCCACACTGTCCCTGCAGCCTGTGCTGGCCAGGTGGGCACCAGTGCTGAGCCCATGTCCAGCCATCCCACCTGGATTCAACCTGCACAGTCATTCCATTTTACACCCCAAATTTTAATTTTTTTTCATAGCCAGTTGTGCTCTGATTGAATTTTTAACAGATGTTTTGACTTGTTATAGGTGAGGGAAAAATAACTCAAAGTGTTTCTTGAGTAGCGCTTGTTCAAAGTTCTCTAGTGGAGCTGTTTCCACATCAGAAAATCCTGACTATGTGCAATCAAACATTTAATTTCCATGGACACAATATCAGAGGATTCCTTCAGGTTAGAATCTGTTACAGTTATTAATCAAAGCAGCACAGCTGAAATGAAACCTCTTATTGAATGTTGTGACAAAGGGATAAATTAAAGCATTTCTGGAATGCATCAGATTTGGGTCCAAGGCTGAAATTTCAAAATCCTGACTTTTTTTCTGCGTTATGAAGTCCAAATGTGGAGCCTTTCTGTGTCAGAGCAAATGTGCAGCACTTGGGGGGTGCTGGAGCTGCGGGGCCGCCACAGTTCCACGGCAGGGAGGGGACGGGGGTCGGGGCTGCAGCACATGTCACACCCCCCTTCCCAATTAATGACACCAGCCCTTCCAGGGACACTCTGCTGAGGATCCCGCGGGCTGGGAACAGGCGAGGGACGGTGATTAAATAAAAAATAGATATTTCAATGTGCCAGTGAGCAAAACCCCCGTGGATGGGGTTCCTGGAGCCTGAAGGATGACGTTCCCTGGACAGGAGCTGGCAGAAAGGTGCCCTGTGTGCTGTGGGAGTCCAGAGCTTCCCTCTGGCTGCCCTGGCAGGTCTGGGACCCTGGCAGGGGTCAGGAACCCCCCTGGACAGACCCCCAGAGACACTGGCTGTGATCTCTGGCCATGGAAAAGAGTTTTCCATCTTGCATTGAAATTCTCATCCCCGGATGCTCGCAGAGAAACAGATCCATCCGCTGGAGAGCTCTGCCTGCAGTCACACGGGGTTGGGACCGTGGCTGGAGCAGATGTGAGGACCCCAAGGTGGGGACCCGCCCGCAGCTCTGGGAGGTGACACCGAGGGACAAAGCCACCCAGAGGCACCGGCTGTGGCGAGCGCCCGTCCCTCCCCCTTCCTTCCCATTTCCCAAACAATTTCCTCATCAGACCTTTCTGTCTGGAGTTTATTAGCGATTCACAGGCCAAGAGGAAATGGTGATTTTTGGGTCCCGCTCTGATGGAAGGGGTGGAGTCGGCAGCGATATTCCCTTTTTGCGGCTCAGCAGCGGATGAACCGCTGAGGAAACGTCAGCGGGATCCAGCCCCGCTCCCCCGGCCGAGAGAAATCCACTTTTGGGGGGTTTAAGGAGAGTAAAGAATGAGGAAAGTTCCTCCTCAGAATGAGTGTTGTGGCGAGGGGGTCTGTTCCCCCGCTGGGTGACAGAGCTGCGTGTCCATCACTGGTGCGAGGGTCACACCTCCTCCTCCTCCTCCTCCTCCGTGGGATTCTCAGCTCCTCTGAAATCCAATCCGGCTGCAGATCCCCGGCATTTTCCACCAAATACAGCGCATTTGTCACTGCTTTTGATTCTGATTGAAAAGGAATTGGAGTTACAGGTAGACATCAGGCAGCAGGACTGGGCAGGGGCTGGGGCCGTGGACAAGGGAATGGGTCACCTGGATCCAGCCCCCTCTCTGCCCTTTCCCCAGCCTGCAAGTGGTGTTTTCTCCAGAATATCCTGTAGGAAATGTGGCCCATGAGATTCTGTGTGTAAAGCAGCACAGGGCTGGGCTGGGGATGAGGATGAGGATGGAGCCAGGCCAGGGATGGGGCTGGGCTGGCAGTGATGCTTTCTCCCTCCAGACCAGTGGCATTTCCGGCCCCTCTTCGGAGAGGAACGCCAGCACTTGTACAGCCTGGGGTTGCTTTTCTTTGCCTCAGCCTAAAAAAATGACCAGGATCTATGAAAATAAGAGTGCTGGTTTTAAATTTTGTGAGGCCAAGAGGACAAACCTGTTAATAGCATCCTCCTCCTCGTCTTCCTCCCTTCCTCTGCAGGACCTGCCACTGCTGCCAACACGAGGTTTTCCAGCCCCAACTCTGCAGTCACAGGGCAGTGTGGTGGTCCCAGTGGCCCCTGTTCCCACTGACAGCGTTGGACTTCAATCCTCACAACCCTCAGTCCTTGTGGAGCCCCTCACAGCTGGGGACATCCATGGCCACGTTGCCCAGAGACGTCACCCATGGCTTTGACCCAATGCTCAGCCCCAGTTTCGGCTGGCTGTGGGGAGAGCTGCTTCCCCAGGACCCCCTCACTCCCCTCCCCTCTATTTACCCGAATGTGTTTACAATTACAGGGAATGCCAGGGAAGGCAGAGCGCCGTGGCCAGCGAGTCAGCGTCGGGGCAGTGCGGGCTGGAGGTCAGCACACTGTTTACTTTAATTTCTCTGAGAGCTTTTTGGGAGATTTCCCTCCTCCATTATTAAACTCAGATGAGCTGCTGGGGAGGTTAGGTCGCATGTGGTTCAGTGCACTTTTTTCTTTTGTAATTTTTTTTTTTCATATTTGCAATGTTTCACCCTTAACTCTTTCGGGACAAGCTGCCCATCTCAGCACTGGGATACCAAGATGAGCCCACGAGTGGGATGGTGGCGCCTGGGTGAGCTGTGACCTGGACTGGTGTTGGAGTGCTCAAGGCTTGAAGATGCCATCATGACCCCATCCAAGCATCACTGGGAGGTTTAAGCTGGATATTAGGAAAAAGTTCTATCCCCAGAAGGTGCTGGAGCACTGAACAGGCTTCCCAGGGAATGGTCACAGCCCCAAGGCTGCCTGAGCTCCAGGAGCATTTGGAAAACGCTCTCAGGGATATGATGGGATCCTCAGGGTGTTTCTGTGCCGAGGGCAAGGGGGCTGCAGGCACAACCTGAGGAGCAGCAGCACCAGCACTCGCCTGCTGCTGCATCCCCAGGGGTGTGCAGGAGCACGTGCAGGAGCAAGGCCGTGCATCCCCAGCTCATTTTGAGCTCCAGTGCCTCCTTCCCAGCAGAGGGGCTGGGACTGGCCACGGCTGTGACACAGGGCTGATGTCGTGTGGGCACAGGGCAAGTGCCAGGGCTCCTCCTGGGACCAGTTTGGGTCGAGTGGCACGCTGCAGGTCAGCGGGACGTGTGGCAGATGAGAAGCAGCTGGCAGGGTGGGCACAGGGGTTGGGGAGCTGGGCCCTGGGATTGAAGCATCATTCCCCCATGGCCAGTGCCAGGCTGCCATCTCTGGCACGTCCCTGTGCTGGCAGCAGGTCTGTGCTGGTGCAAGGTCACTCCCCCAGCCAGGACAGGGAAGGGCACGGCATCCGGGCCCCAGGGAATGGCTCTGGTGGAGTAATTGCTGCCAGTGCCTCCTGGAGAAGCTCCAGTGGGCCACCCCAGCACCATTCTCCCTTCCAAGCCCAGGATCCCCAGCTCCAAAACCCCAGTGCAACAAGTCCTGTGTTCAGCCTTCTTAAATTATTTTTAATTTCCTGGAGGGAGAGCTTTTAATTTATTTCTGGAACAAAGTGGGGGAAGTGGAGGGGAAGATGACTCTGAAGTCCATCACTAAGCCCCCTCCACTTCCAAACATTCCCTTTCCCACTGTCCCAGAAAGGACAAGACCTGGGTCACCATGTCCTCTCTATCCTGTGCCCCAAACTGGGATTCTCTGCTCTGGGGCTCCCCACAGTGTCCCCACAGGCAGGTCCTGGCAGATAGTGACAGCTGGGCCTGGGGGAACACTGGCTTGCAGAGGAATTGAGCTGTTTTCACAGGAAGCAGCAAATCCTGCTGGTTTCCATCAGACACAGACAATCCCGAGAGCTGCAGGGCTGAACCTGAGCTGCACCAGTGCAAAATCCCAGTGGGACAGACCCCTAAAAACACTGCTTCTGGATCCCTCTGTGAACCCAGAACTTCCCTAGCTCCCACCATGGCTGGCAGTTGGGGGAGGAACCCCAAACCCCCCAAACCAGTGGAGCCAGGCCAGGGCAGCAGGTTGGCAGCAGATCCAGCACACTGGCACCTGTTGGCATGTGGGGATTCCTGGGGTGGGGACAAGCAAAGCTGAGAGAGGAGCAAACCCTGTTCTGCCCTGGAGCCAAACTGCAGCCTGTGCTGTTTTCTGTGCTGTTGAAATCTAAACCTGAGGTGGAAAAGGCCTGTTTTACCTCACAGTGAACTGGGGGAGAAGGTCCCTGAATGGATCAAAATTCTCTCTGTGCTCTCAGTGGTGAAAATTTCCCTCTGAGTTCAGGCCATGGTGGGAGTGAAGCCCTGAGCAGCACAAAGCAAAGGCTGAGCTGAGCCCATTGTGTGCCCAAACTCCCATTTCTGTCCTGCCCATTCCCAGATGCCTGAGTCAGCTCCTGCCTTTCCTGTGTCACAGGAAGGGTTTGTTCTTTTCACCCCAGGCTTCTCCTGGAGCTGCAGCCCAAGTGTCCCAGTTACAGCTCTTGGTCCTGCCCCTCTGACTGCTCCTCCTTGGAGCTGTCGAAGCCTTTGGAGCAGCCAGGAGCAGGGGAGGCTGTCAAGGGGCCTGTCAGGCAGATGAGAAATTTGAACAACTTATTTATCACTCACATATTCCACTGCTCCAAACCCTCACCATGTCATCTGCTCCCTACATCCCACCTCCAGCAATTCAGAGCTTTCAAAAGGCTCTTTTCCACCCTGAAAGCACCTCCATCGCTCCTTCCCCTCCCGGGGCAGGTGAGAGGAGCCGAGCCCAGCCTGGCTTTGGGCTGGGGAGGATGTGGAGGATGCTCTGCTCGTGCCGTGTCCATGGCACAGCTCGCACCGGGCACAGGGAAGGGCACATGGGGTGATGGGGCAGGAGATGGACCATCCCCGCCCGGGGCAGCTCTGGGGGTGTTGGGGCTGGATGTGGCCGCCTCCACCGCCGCTCCCAGCCCCACAAAGCTTCTTTATCTCCCGAGACGTTCCGGGTGTTTCATGTGGGAAACGGCTCGTGGGAACCGTTTGATGTTCCTGAGCCTTTTCCTTTCCCAGCGCGGACCCTCCGGCTCTGGGCGAGGGGAATAAAGAACCCACTGAGCACTCAGCTCCGTCCCCATCCCCACGGGGACCTGCTGAGCCTCACGGGACCCACGGGCCGGTGGGAAGGAGCCAGAGAGCCCCAATGCAGCCACGCCACCCGTGTCGGGGAGCTCCCACCAGCACCCACCCAGCGCTGCCTGTGCGTGCCGGGAGGCTCCAGGTCCTTCTCCCTGACACGGGTGGGGCTTCCCCCCTTTCCCTCCTTTCGTGGGGGACAACGGCGGAATTTTCTCCAGGGATGCTGTGGGTGAACGTGGACCCATAGGGATACACACAGTCACGGCAGCGGGGGGGCACTGGGCAGGACCAGGCGGCCCCGAGAGCCCGGGCACCCCCCTGAGCATCCTCGTTCTCCCCAAGCACACCCTCTCTCCGTCAGGATCCCTGTCCCCCCATAGCATCCCTGTCCCCCCCATAGCATCCCTGTCCCCCCATAGCATCCCTGTCCCCCCACAGCATCCCTGTCCCCCCATAACATCCCTGTCCCCCCACAGCATCCCTGTCCCCCCTCAGCATCCCTGTCCCCCCTCAGCATCCCTGTTCCCCCCACAGCATCCCTGTCCCCTCCTCAGCATCCCTGTCCCCCCCACAGCATCCCTGTCCCCCCATAACATCCCTGTCCCCCCTCAGCATCCCTGTTCCCCCCACAGCATCCCTGTCCCCTCCTCAGCATCCCTGTCCCCCCTCAGCATCCCTGTCCCCCCCATAGCATCCCTGTCCCCCCCTCAGCATCCCTGTCCCCCCATAGCATCCCTGTCCCCCCCATAGCATCCCTGTCCCCCCACAGCATCCCTGTCCCCCCACAGCATCCCTGTCCCCCCCATAGCATCCCTGTCCCCCCATAACATCCCTGTCCCCCCACAGCATCCCTGTCCCCCCTCATCATCCCTGTCCCCCCCACAGCATCCCTGTCCCCCCCATAGCATCCCTGTCCCCCCATAGCATCCCTGTCCCCCCCAGCAGCTCCGCCGGCGCTGTCGGAAGTGCGGCGGTGACACCTCCCCACGCGTGGCCGCTTCCGCTCCCGCTCCCACCCGCGGCGGCGGCGGCGCACGGAGCCCGGGCCGGGACCGGGAACGGGAACGGTACCGGTACCGGGGCTGGAGCAGGGCTGGACCGGGCCGGTGAGTGCTCGGGGCCGGGCGGGCGGTGCGAGCGGAGCGGCGGCTGCCGGGGGTCGCCCCTGGCCGGGTGCGGGTCCAGGGGGATCCCGGGGGGGCTCTGCGGGGCTGAGACCCCCGTGCGGGGCTCTGCGGGGCTCTGCAGGGTGGGGATGCTCCCACCCGTCTCTCCCCGCGCATCCCCCGGCAGAGCAGCCCGGCCCCGCCCGGGTGGGGTGCAGCGCTTTTATGGGGGTGTCACCAGCCCTGGACCCAGCAGATGTCACTGCGGGGGCTGCGGGCGGGGGTCCCGGGGCTCCAGGCCTCTGGCAGCACCCTGAGCTGGGGTCCTGCACCCCTCCTGGTGCCCCGCTGCTGGCCGGGGTCAGCCCGGGACTCCCGATGGGTTCCCTGCCATTGCTGTGAGCTGTGGGACAGGGCTGGAGGGCGCCTCTCGCTGCCAGTGACCCGGCAAGGAGCGCTGGGATAACCATCCCTTTTCTGGGCCAGTCTGCTCCCAGTTCTGCAGGGAAGAAGGACAATGGGGTCACCAGTTTGGGTACCACGCTGGTGCAGGGCTGGTGACAGAGGTTGTGCAGAGGAGCCCAGGCAGTCTCAGCTGCTGAGAGACTTTTATTGCTGTTGGGAAAGCATCTCCTTCCAAGCACACCTTCACCAGCATGGAATGAATTGCATCAGGCACAGCCCAAATGCTGCCAGCAGCTGCAGGAGCACGGCTTGGACTGGAGCTCTCAGGGAAGATGGATGGGATGGGAGGTGGCTCCTTGAGCTTCTGCATCAGGTGGGAAGATGCCCTTAGATGGGTGGCAAGGAGGGGGAACCAAATGAGCTTTAACACCTCTTCAACACAATCCATTCCATGATTCCATGATGTTGCATGGGGCCATGCTGAGAGCAGCATCCAAACACCCAGGATCACTGACCCCATGATAGGTCCAATGCCTTTAAAGAGGTAAATAAAGTAATGAGCGTGTTTTTCCCCACTGGTGCTGCCCCGAGCTCTGGCTGTGCCAGCCCAGGTGCCCACAGGCGTGTCACGGCTCCGTGTCTCTCTTGCAGGCAGGACACCGCTGAGATGTTTGCTGTGTGCCCAGCAAACGCCCCATTCCGGCAGGGCCAGGGGGGCCCAGTGCTGGGCACAGCCCTCCCCGGGGCGGGACATGGGCCGGACTCCAACTCCAACTTCGTGTGTGACAGCAACGAGAACTGGAGCCAGGCAGCGCCGGGCTGCCCGCCCGAGGAGGGCTCCAGCCGGAGCGAAAACACCACAAATCCGTCTGATAATCTGCTGTTATTAATGCAGAGACAGATGGTCCAGGGCCGGCTCAGGGACAGCGCCCCGGGCCTGGGCGACACGCACCCCGAGCAGGGCGTGCGCAGCCCCCCCGAGGGAGCGGAGGTCAGCGGGGCAGGGGGACAGGACCCTGCTGAGGAGGGGCCCGGGGGATGTGTGAAGCCCCCGAGCTCCCCTGCGGAGGACAACGGCTACGCCAGCAGCTCCCTCAGCATCGACAGCCCCGACAGCACCTGCAGCACCCCCTGGGAGCCTCCCGCCTGTGCCCCCCGAGCCGAGAGCCCCCCTGAGGCAGGGCGGGCTGAGCCCGAGCTGGGCAGCCTCTTCCCGGCGCTGGCAGAGGCCGTGCAGCACCTCCAGGACAAGGAGCGCTTCAAGGAGCAGGAGAAGGAGAAGCACCACATCCAGCTGGTGATGTACCGGCGCCTGGCCCTGCTGCGCTGGATCCACGGCCTGCAGCAGAAAGTGCTGGACCAGCAGAACCGGCTGCAGGAGAGTTTCGACACCATCCTGGATAATCGCAAGGAGCTCATCCGCTGCATGCAGCAGGGCCCAGCCTGCGTCGCCGCCGCGGCTGCTCCAGGTCCCTGAGGTGCCACCAGCCCAGCCCAGCCCAGCCTCACCCTCCGGATGGTGTGGTGGCATCCCCATCCTGTGCCAAGCGCTCACCACCGCCCTGAGTGCCCACCCTGCCCTTCCCATCTCTCTCCAACGCATCCAAGAGTCCCTGAAGAGTTAATCTCCATCTTGCATTTGTTTTGTCCTGCAGCCAGGTCTGGGGTGGCACTGGGCTGGGTCCACCTCAGGACCATGGGGTTTGCTGAGCCTGAGGTGACCAGGCTCATCTTTAAACCTGATCTAGGCCATTGTTGAGCCTGGCTTAGCCAGGATGGCCGTGCTGGAGCTGCAGGGCAGTGAGGGCCCCATGGCAGTGAAGCTTCTAAACCTCCCTGGGCAAAGCACTTCCAGCATGTGCTGCATCCCCTCATCCCACCTGCATCAGGGCATCCCTGCAGCCACAGCCCAGCCCCTGGTAAAGGTTGCTTGTTGGTGAGAGTGAGGTGTCCTGGGCTGGGAGAGAGAAAAAAATCATTCTGAAAAGTGACCTCAGAATGCTGGAAAGTAAATTTAAGTCAAATGATCCAACACAATATATGTTTTTAATGGCAGTATTAGAGAAAAGTTAATTTAGGTCTGTGTGTATGTGCATGTCTGTCTGCTGTGGGCGATGCTCTCAGTGTATGATCCCAAAGCTGCTCATGAACTTGTGGTGTTGGTGTTTATATTAATTTATCATTTGGGAGCAAAAATAATTTTTTTTTTTGAATCGGCATTTTATCCAGTGAGAACCCAAAGAACAATTGTCTTACCTAGAGATGGAAGAGGAGCTGCTGTGTGTGTTTGCTGTGCTTTGCTGTGTGTCCACAGGACACACATTCCATTTTAGTTCTGATGTGGAGGAGCAGCAGTGGGCAGTGAGGGCTCAGCCAGAGGGCTCTGCACTCCCCATCCTGCCCCCGTTGCCAAGCAAAGCCGGGCGCTGATTCCATTTCTCATCTGCAAAGGAGGGTGGTGAGGGATTCCAGATTCATCCCAGCCAAACTGCTGCCTGCCCTCAGAGGAGCTGCTTCCCAGGAGCCCAGCGAGCAGCAGAACCTGCAATCCTGGTGGATCCTGACACCCACCAGCTGCTCCTGCACTGTGGATAAACAACGATGGCCAAGCCCAGCGGTGCCCCACGGGCCAGGGGCAGCACCAGCCTCCTCCCGCCCCACGTGGGGCACAGCTGGGCTCTGCTCCCCCTGGCGCTGCTGCCAGTGCCACAGAAATCCTCTTCCAAAAAGGACATTTTAGTGGCAAAGGGTGCACTCAGCTCAAGGCAACCTGTGCCAGCACTGGAGGATTCTGGCAGCTTCCTGCACGGCCCATGCTGCCCTCCCTCCCTTCTGCTTGCTCGTGTCCAGCGCCTGCTGCCTCTGTCATATCCCAGACCTGTGATTGTGGGCATGTTGCACACCTTAATAAAAGCCTTGGAGCTGAAGGAGCCGAGCCCCACCTGGATTTGTTCTTTTCTTTCCCTTCCCAAGGCTGCCGGGCTGGGAGCAGCCACTCTGTGCTCGCCACGGGGGCTGGAGCATACATAACTAAATATAACTATAACTATAACTATAACTATAACTATAACTATAACTATAACTATAACTATAACTATAACTATAACTATAACTATAACTAACTATAGCTATATATAACTATAACTAAATATAAATATAAATATAAATATAAATATAAATATAAATATAAATATAAATATAAACATAAACATAAATATAAATATAACTATAAATATAAATATAAATATAAATATAAATATAAATATAAATATAAATATAAATATAAATATAAATATAAATATAAATATAAATATAAATATAAATATTTGCCCAGGCGGGACTGGGGGTGAATGGCAGGTGGAGGGCACAGGTGTTGGCACCTTCCTCCCATCCCTGCATCCCTGGGCAGTTCATCCAGGCTCAATTTTTACAGTTTTTTTTTAAACAGCGGTGTGTGTTGCTCCTCCCCGCTCTCCCGTGGGGCAGCTGGGGTGCAGTCAGTGCAGGATTCACCTTCTGCCCCAGGAGAACCGGGGGGACCGGATTCCCGATTCCCGATTCCCGGATTCCTGGCACCCTGCCTTAGTCTGGGGGCAGCTCCGGGTGATGGGGGTGGCAGATAACAACACCTGAGTGTTGACCCAAAGGTGACTTTGCCTCGGGCTTCAGAGAGATTAACTAGAGATGAAAACCCGAGGCTGGAGCAGCCCTTTGAACCCTCTCTCACCTTTCCCCCCACCCGTTCCTGCTTCTCTTTTCCAGCCTCTGAGTCTGTGGGAATCCAGGGATGCAATTCAGGGATCCACGTACAGACACAGCAAGGCACGAAGGGCAGAGTGGCC